CCCGGAACTTGTCAGCCCGAAGCTTCTCCAGGTATGCCACCTGGCCTGCTCGAAAGAAGATCTTGGTGCGGCCGAACTGGAACTTGTCGGGATCCTTTACAAGGCAAGGAGGGGGGCTGGTTCATTATCAGTGGAGCAGTGAGGTAACATTTATTCAGCCCAGGCCTTCCATCCCAGCCCTTCCAATGCAGAATTCCCTTGCCAAATATCTCGCACTCCTCCCGCATTCACTTAGCAGATATTGAGTTCCTACTATGGGACAGGCACTGGGCTAGGTGTTTGGCATGCAGCAGTGAACAAGATGCTTGCCCTCAAAGAACTGACATCATGGTGAGGGAAGACAGACAGGTAAGTGAAAACACAATAATACATTTTTAGGTACCGGTACCATGAAGAAAATTAAACAGGAGTTAGGGTGGGATAGGAATGTTTAAATTGAATGATCAAGGAAGGCAACCCTGCAGAGGTGATAACTTGAGCATAGACCTGAATGAAATGAACGAGGCAGCAGTGGGAAAGTCTGGAGGAGGAGAGTTCCAGCAAAAAGGAGAGGAGATGCAAAGGCCCTGTGGTAGCGACAAGCTGAGTATGTTTGAGGAACAGGACGGTGGTATGGAATTGGGATGGGGAACAGCTGGGGGGCTCTGAACAGTGACCTGACCTGATCCAGTTTATATTTTAAAAAAAGATTAACCTTAAATGGCCATACAGTTGTATGTATAATTTTAGATTGCAAATAACCCCCAAATAAATTTTATTTGGCTTGAGACTATATTCTGAGTTTTTTTGGTACACATAATTACTGTCTTAATTACATCTATTTGGGTTAAAATTAGTTACCCTTCCCTGAGCTCACCCCAGTGGATAAGGAAAGATGACCCAGCAATGAGCTCAGGGACAAGCCTGGGAGAGAACACTTGAGTAAGGACATGATCCACAGAAGAGAGTTAACACAATGGTAACTGAGAGTTTTTGCAAATCAACTTCCATCTACCTCTGAAGGCCAGAATAAGAAAGGAAGCAGTGAGTCCAGGTCTAAGGAAAACACACACACGCACAACAATGTTTCATGTTGGCAAACAGCTCTATAATAATGCTGAACATCATTCTTCATGATTAGCAGGAATCCCATTCCACAGGCAGCTAGGTTGTGGCCGAGCTAGGGACACAGTGTCCCACTAGAGTGTCACCAACTAAGTCTCCTTCGTTGGCCAGACTATCTGTGAAGCCAGGAGGGGCAGGAAGAGGTGTTCATTTTTGTTTGGCAAAAATGCTACCTGACAGGCCTGTTTCTCATTCCTGTGTCTGCTCAGGGCTCTGAGCACATGCTGAGAGGAACAGGGGCTGGACTGGGTTCCTGGAAGCTTTTAGGCAGCTAAGGCCCTGTTTTATCACTACCCTGCTAGGGGCACCCCCTCTTCAGTGAGGAGGTGGCAGGAAGCAGAAGGTGGGCTGGTGGCTCAGCCTTCACAGTCAGGGGGCTAGCCTGGCTGCTAGGACTTCAGGGGAGCAGGGGCCTGGGGGCTGCCTGCTGCATCCTAAAAACCAGAGTGCACACATTCCAGAATAAACCAGGAAGGGCGAGACCTGGTCTTCAAAGCCATCTGTTTTTACAGACAAGGATCTCT